TCGGGCATGGGGCTTGTGCTTGGAGGGCAGAGTCCAGTGGTCCTCACTGGGCACGCAGACGCTTCTTGGGCTGACGACCAGGCTACGCAGCGGTCGTCACAGGGTTACACCTTCAGCCTTGGTTCCGGCTCTGTTTCGTGGCGGGCTACCCGCTCGTCTTCTGTTCTCGGCTCCAGTTGTGAGGCTGAGATCTACGCTGGGGCCATGGCTGCACAGGAGCTTCGCTGGCTCACCTACCTGCTCACTGACCTCGGAGAGCCGCCTCGTTCTCCTCCAGTGCTGTACGTAGACAACAAGGCCATGCTGGCCTTGTGTCGAGAGCAGAGACTGGAGCACAGAACGAAGCACATTGCTCTCCGCTACTTCCTTGCTCGTGAGCTACAGCAGCGTGGTCAGCTACGGCTTGCGTACGTGGCCTCTGAGGCCAACACTGCTGATATCTTCACCAAGGCACTTCCGCCTTGTGATCATCAGCGCTTCTGTACTCAGCTGGGTCTTGTGCCTACCTTGCCTCACTTGCTCACCCCTTGACCTTGCTTGTACTGTTGCATATATATATACACCTGCTCTTGCTTGTCTAGCCTTATATATATATGCAATCCTGCATGTGAACTGGCCTTGTGGCCTTGAACTTGTGCTCGGAATGTGTGGTGACTTTGTGATCCACCCTGAGCTTGTTTTGCTTTGCTTGACTGGTCTTGTGACCCCTTGTTCTCCCCCACTTTGCCTATGGGGGTGTGTCAGATTTATATGACATAGCTACTGTAGGCTATAGTGGGGTAGCACATATGGGGTACAGTTTTCTAGGGTTTGCTTTTGTACCCAACTTTCCTTTAGTCATTCTCATTCATCGTTTCTTCTCAGGTGCCTCGCGATCTGTTGCTGGCGGCGTGTGGTGCGCGATCTACTGCAGGTGCTAAGGAGGTCGCCACTGGTGGCGCTGCTGTGGATGGTGTACTGCACTCTGTGGATGACTTCTGTTGCTGCTGGTGCTCGTGTTGGTGCTGCCGTTGCAGCTGCTGGTAGTGCTGGAAAGCACTCATACCTATAGGAGTGCTCAGTGCAATCTCAGTGATGGCCTTTTAAGGTCATGGCCTTATAAAGATTATGGCATTTTAATTATGGCCTTATAAGATTACGCCTTTGCAAGACAACACGGCAAAATCTCGTTGCTGTGAAAAAAAAAAAAAAAAAAAAAAAAAAAAAAAAAAAGGCCAGGCGTATGATAAAATTCCAAAAATGATACGTATTAAAATAAAGAGTAAAGTAATTTGGCATTTGCAAGGGCTAATTTCTATTTTATGCGTTACCCTTTCGAGCGAAATAGATCATTTCTTAAATCCCTGGTTTTTATATAAAACCCAAAACAATTGGACTCTGAAGTTCTTCCACCCAATGGGTCGCATCGCGAATGTGCAAAGGACATGCATTACTATTGATACCGAGATATCGGTCAGTTGCGCATACACCACCATTGCTACCGGTAATAAAAAAAACAAAAAAAAGGGGGGGCAATATTGGCGTTTGAAGTTGTTTATGGCGTAAATATGCCCTCTACCAATTACGATATCGTATATCACTCATTCGATTTTCCACGTTGAAGTTGCTGAAACTACACGTGGAGATTAAACGTTGGGTTTGGATTGGACATTTGGTTGTCTGCCATTATGAATGACATGAGCTTGGTGGCTGGGATCAACCGCTTGAGATGATGAAGTCTTTGCTCGCGGTATTGTTTTGCAAAGTTACACGTTTGTTTTGGACGGAACTGCCAATATCAATCACGGTAGTTACCAGCGTTCCCATGCGGATTTTGCGAACATTTGACGTAACGTCTCTACATGCGGGTTGGCGTTATCAACCCTGGCGTTTGCCAGGTTCTTTTTGCCATTGCCATTATTGTGACTCATTTGACGTTCTTCTTTGAGATTGTCATGTTTGGCATAAGAATTGTAGCAAGGGCTGTCTTTTGAAGAAACCAATCCATCATAACAGACTTTGCATTGGCCTTACAAGTACAGTACATCCGTTACAAAGGTTCCTTCTTTACTCTGTGGCTATATGGCAACATGCATGTATACATGCTTAAGGGTTTATTCGACGACACCGCGTCTTGGCATCCGGTCAAGGAAATTAGAGCGTGGTTTCTTCTATATACTCACACAACCAGAATTCTATTGGTCATTATTGGATATGAAAAACCATCCCCACGCAAACACTATGCAGGGTATAAGGGTATGCCCTACTGTGGGTCGTGATGAGCATCTTGTCCTCGCGTTTACGTTTGTATCGACACGGAATGTGTCACAACCACAACAATGATCTAGCCTGCCATCTTACAAAGTATTTTGCACGTGCGTCGATGTACTCATGGATCACTTCAGGTTCATCTCACGAGCATATGTTCATTCTTCGTTGGTTGTTTGAACAGAAAAGGCACGTGCGTGTGCCTCTTTGGTACGATGCTGCGGAAAGCATTATCATGAACAAAGTGTCTATCCAAACTCGGCTCGTGCTTGTGTCATGAGCACCTCCGCTACGAATACTTGCATTGTGGCCTTACGCGCACACTACTTTGCGTTTGCATTGGCACAAATCTTCTCTACGCATCTGACGCAATATGTTCCACCCTACGACGACGGTCTCGTGAAGAGGGTCTCGTCTTACGTGTATCCTGGCAAGTACGGATTTTTCAATGATGCGTTTTTCATCTCGAAAGTTGTGATGCCCATGATCAAAGTTGACGAACAACCGCTTTTCTTTGGCATTGAAATATGCGGTCCATACTGTTTTCGCAAGTATTACGCACAAATGATACACACGTACATATATCTGAATGCCTCAATCCTCAGTATGTCACCTCACAAGTGATTGACAGCGGTGAAGCATGTACAATTTTCGAAGCCTTTATTCTCAACGCTGCCTTGCGTTATGCATTACATAAATAAGTCATTGTTTAGCCAATGCCATTCAGAATCTCATGCAATCTAACGAGAGCCATGGTTTTCTTCTCGACCATGTAGCGCTGGTCGCGTCAGCGTGCTACGGAGTGATAACATCATCAGAATCACATAGTCAAGACCGTTCATGCTCATGTACGGGCCATTTTTATCGCGCTATTGCATCACCATGATAACATCGACCAGACCATTCGTGCTCATGTACTGACCAATATTTATCGCGCTATTGTACACCGCGGACAATTCGTTACCGTAGTTCTGTCTTGAACAAGCACACGCCTAAACACTTTGGAAAGCTTCTCTGGCCCGTAACTTGGAAAGCTTGCAAAGGTGTTGAATTCTTCAGTGCAAGATAGATAATATCCTTGTTGCTTACTCTCGGTGATGCTTGCGAAGCCTTCTTTGCTCTCCCCAATTATATTTCAAAATTATATTTCAAAATTTAAAGATTGTGACAAGACTTGTAAAGGAGCATGCAGTAAGGAGTCAAGTGCTCCTTATCTTGTGGCAGGTCCACGGACCTGCCACCTAGTCCATTTCATTCGTAGATCTGAATCTACAACCCACCCCTCCCTCCCTGTAGAGAAATTATATTCATACATAAACTAGTTTAGATACAAATCATTATGTTGATTTAAGTTACCACTATTTGTAATTTGTAATCTAGTGTGCTGTATGATTGAGATCTTAAATGCTATGACGACTCTCTATGACGACTGCTCTGCAGACTCCTTGAAGAGTCTTGTCTTAATACATGTGTTGATGTGATGCGACAAGAGGTAGAGCGAGAGGTTATGGGAAGCCGGACGGCGAGGGATGGGGGAGAGTTGGTGAGAAGGACAAGAAAAAGAGGAAAGGGGAGGGGAAGTTCGGAAAATAGCGAGGAAGGGGAGTGTGTTGGAGGGACAAGACGGGGAGGATAGGAGTGGGAAAAGTGGAACAGAGAGAGGGTAGGTAGGGAGAAAACGATCGGTGAAGGAGGGAGGGAGGGAGGGAGGGAGGGAGGGAGGGAGGGAGGGAGGGAGGGAGGGAGGGAGGGAGGGAGGGAGGGAGGGAGGGAGGGAGGGAGGGAGGGAGGGAGAGCGAGGCAGGGAGGGAAGGAGGGTGGGAAAATTGGAGGAAGACTGGAAACCTTTCAGTGACTTCACAATCAAGACCGCAGGCAGGTGTTTGGGCTTAATACTTCTGCGCCACATTTCGACGAAACGTTGACTAACAGGAACAGTGAGGAATGAGAACGCGAAGCACTTGTGGCTGTAACACTCACTGGTTGTTGACAAACTTCACATCCAGCCACTGACAGAACCACAGTCACTGGTTGATGCACAAAACAGGAGAACGCCACTAGAGGCGACAGCAAAGCAACACTGTACTACGAGGCCACGAGTGAAACGCGGCGGTCTTAGTGTCGGAGGCAATGGAGGAGGAGGTGGTGGTAGTGGAACTAAAACAGGGAGACACCATGAGGTGATGCAAGGGCGAGCGCATGCAGCAGTAGTGATGCAGAAACAGTTGCGGCGGCAACCACTGACAGGCAGCAACCAAACACGCACTGAGACACACACACACAATCACGAACACACATGCACAAACAAACAAGTACACACACACACACACATAGAGAAAGAGGAAGCCCGGGAGCACACAGAGTGAGCAGAATGGAAGGGAACGAGACAGAGAAAGAGTAAGGCACGGGTGAGAGAGAAACGGGATGAGAGAGACAGAAAGGGCGAGGGGAGGGGGAAGAGAGAGCGAGGAACCATTTACACAGCACACACAGTGATAACACAGGTGTGTACACAGGAGAGCGTGGGAAGAGCAGGAAATGAGCGATGGAGATGGAGAGGGGATAACTTGAAAGAAGAACCTTCCAACCAAAGCACGGCTCCTCACCTCATCACATTCCCCACCACAACCTCCCACCCGCCCTCCCCCCGCCCCCTTTCGCCCACCCCCGGAAAGCAGACAGCATGGTCACAAGCAAGCCACCATGGTACCATGGCGCAGGGCAGCAGAGCAAGCGCAGCAGCAGGGCGGCGGTCAGTAGGGAGCGGAGGCGTGGCCGGGCGCAGAAGCCTGCTGGCCCTTCTTGACGGAGACCTTGAGGTGGCGCCCCCCCACCAGGAACCCGTCCATCACCGCTATCGCCGCCTGCGCTGCCTCCGCCGCATCGTAGCTCACAAACCCTGGGGGGGGGGGAGGGGGAGGGGGAGGGGGAGAGGGAGGGCGGGAGGCGGGGGGCAGGAAGGCAGGGAGGCTTGGAAGTAAGTGTACAAGAGGGGAAGAGGTTCGAGAATGGAAGTGGAGGAGAAGAATCACACACTGCTGCAGTGTGTCCAGTGCAGTGCAGCACAGTGCAGTGCAGGTCAGAGCAGTGAGGTGCAGCGCAGTGCAGTGCCGTGATACTGTGCCGTGCTATGCCGTGCCGTGCCGTGCTGTGCCGTGCGATTCCACGGTGCCGTGTGCTGTGGTGGCGTGCAGGGAGCGCACCAAAGTTCTTGCTGAGGCCCGTGTTCTTGTCGATGAAGACGCGCGCCGACAGCACGTTGCCAAACTCCACAAACGCCGTGGTGAGGTCGTGGTCCCGCCACTCCGGAGGGATGTTGTACACGAATATGTTGGCTCCGGGGGGACCTGTCGCACACACACACACACTCTCACGCGTGCAGGACAGGCAGAGACGGGAGCGGAATAGATGGCAATGGCACAGAGACACAAGGGCGCAAATGGGATGGGTGGAGAGCGGTTGGAGAGAGGGTGGAGAGGGGTTGGAGAAGGGGTAGAGAGGCAGGGGGTTCAGGTAGGGAGAGACGGGTAGTAGCATGGGAGGTGGGCGCGATATAAAGAATCGAAGGGAGGATGAGGTTGCGGGGCGACGGGAGAGTGAGTGAGTGAGTGAGGGAGTGAGTGCACGCATGGACTGCTGGAGTTGCGCAGTGAATGGAGTGGCAGGGCATGAAGCAGGGCAGAAGGCAGCCCCCACGCACCTTCCTTCTGAGCCAGCGCCTGCCTCACAGCAGCCGCCACGGCCGTCGCTGAAGGCACCGCACCCAGCTGATAGCCCCCCACTGGCCCCCCAATGCCCCCTCCGCCTCCTCCTCCTCCTCCTCCACCTGCCATTGCTGCTGCTGCGCCATCCGTGTGGTAGTGTTGGGTAGCAGGTGGCGGCATGGCATACATGTCGTGTGGCTGCGGTTGCGGCATGGCGGGTGGTTGTGGCTGGTACAGTGATGCCAAGTCCATGCCTCCGTACTGCTGTTGGTGTTGGGTTGCGGTCGTGTAGAATCACACAGAGACACATGCAGGGATGTGCAACACACGATGGGATGCACGCAGCATGGCGGCAAGAATGAGACCAGAAGCTGTGACTACCAAGCAGGGCACGCGGAAAAGCGTAAGCAGGGCGTATGGGAGCGAAAGAGTGCGAGGGAGAGCAGGAAGGTAAACTGGAATGGGAGATTAGGAGAGAGGGCGGTTGGAACTTTGAGGGTGGAAGGAAGACGCCAGCCAGCCACAGAGAGTGAGTGAGTGAGTGAGTGTGTGTGTGTGTGCGTGTGTGCGTGTGAGTGTGACAGAGTGGGAGCGCACCTGCAGCTGGGGCTGCATGGGAGAGCCGTACAGAGACGGCGCAGTGGAGGGCGGCAGGAAGAAGGCAGCGCCAGGCGCGGACCCCATGAGGGGCGAGGAGTAGAGCCCGGGGGGCGACGGCCCCATGCCCAGCGCAGCAGCAGCGGGTGCAGGCGGGCCCATGCGGTGCGCCTTGCGCGCCATCTTCTCCTTGTCCGTGTCCGCCCACTTCACCGCCATTGGCACCCCCCCCTCCTGTTGCTCGCACGGGGCGGAGTGCGCGTGGGGGGAAATGAGAAAGGAGGGGAAAAGACGACAAAGGTTTACAGAGAAGGGGGGGAAGGGGGGAGCGGGACCGGGGGGGTAGAAGACAAGAGCGAAAGTTAGACGCAGGGAGATGAGCCCGTGGAGGAAAGATGAGAAGGGGAGAAAGAGATTGGTGGGGGAGGGGGCCGTGGGCGGGGGGAAGACGTTGGAAGGAGGCACGACGAGGAGGCACGACGAGGAGGCATACTAATATTTGCAGACGACGAGCATGGCAGGGGGACAGGGACGAGACGAGCTGGCCATAATAGAGAGGAGAGTAAAGACGACACAAGGGACATGCAAAGAGCATGCAAAGACTCGTACAACAAGGCACTCAATTCTGCAACATGCTTCCCCCACAAACTCCCCCATCCTCCTCCACCCTTCCCTTCCCAACCCTTCCCCTCTCCCCGCCCCCCCCTGCCCTCCCTTCTCTTCCACTCCTGCCCCGTCCCGTCCCCATGTGCCCCCCACCCGTCCTTCCCCCCCCCGGGCACCTCGAGGCGGTGCTTGCCGTTGAGCGCGTCAATGGCGGCCTGCGCCTGCGCGTACGACTGGAACTTCACAAACGCCGACCCTGCACCGTGGGGGGAAAGGGAGTGGGACGGCAGGGGGGAGAGAGGGGGAGGGAGGGGATGGGAGGTG